GGGGGAGTTGAACGAGAGCACGTGGTCACGTGGCTCAGGGGGGAGTTGAACGAGAGCACGTGGTCACGGGTCACCCTGTGACCTCAGCCCACGCTTTCGGAGCAGTCTCCCAGAGATGCGCAGGGCCCACGACATAGAGAAGGTGGAGCCCAGCCAGGCCCACCGGGGGCCCCAGAGGGTGGGGAGGTGGGAGGTGGCTGGCGCCTCCGGGTGCCCGGGTGCCCGGGCTCCCGCCCACGTGGGGCAGGCGCAGTGTGGGCAGCTCGGGGACGCACGACCTCGCCCTGACTGTGATGTCCCCCCTGCAGCGGATGCTCTACACGCCCACAGCTCCCTCTTCCTGGAGGGCAGCTCGCGGGACAGCCCACCGCTTCCGGACGCCCCCGCCTCGTCTCCCCAGGCCCTGCGGGCCCAGCGCCCAGGACGGAGGATGAGCCAGGACAGCTCCCATAGCGAGAGCTCAGGGTCCTCGGACAGCCTGGCCCCCGCAGGCGCCTCCCGCAGTGAGTGAGGGTCCTCAGGGCCCTGCCTGGCTGGAGGGAGAGGGACCTTCCCTGGGGCGGCTGCTGAGGGCAGGCCAGGAACCATAAAGGAAGTGTAGACTGAGCTCTGACCTCTGGCCCGGACAGGGCCCTGTGGACCGAGCCGTGGCCTAGACTGACGTTGACCCCAGCCCGAGCCCTAACCCCGACGTTCTGTCCTCCCACTGGGAATCCCTGCATCCCGGGGATGAGACCAATGTCTCCGCAGGGCCGGCCCCCACTCCCGGGGTCCCGTGTGCAGCCCCTGTCCTGGGGGCAGCAGGTGAAGGAGCTGCTGGCCGCAGGAAGCTGGGAGCTCGGTGTGAGCTGGGTGCTTTGGCCTCACACGGCCCCGTGGGTCCAGGCCCAGGCCGGCCACACTGTCCTCACTTCTCTCTCGGGCCCACAGTCACGGCCAAGTGGTGGGGCACCAAGCGCATCGATTACGCCCTGTACTGTCCTGATGTCCTCACGGCCTTCCCCACGGTGGCCCTGCCTCACCTCTTCCACGCCAGCTACTGGGAGTCCACGGACGTGGTGGCCTTCATCCTGAGACAGGTACTGCGCCCCTTCCTGGAGGGCCCGTCCTTGTGCGTGGGAGAGGGCGACCTTGCAGGCCACCCTGGGCCCTGGAGCCGTTAGCCAGGTGGGGGGTCGCAAGGTCAGACGGTGGGTCTCATGAAGAGCATGGGCTTCTGATCAACAGTGTGGTACTTTCTAGAAAATGAAAGAGAGAGTACCTGGGAGTACCTCCCCATCTTCCATCCTGGAGACAAGGGACAAATGCCTGTCCCTCCAAGGGCCTCAGGGTCCTCAGAGAGGCCAGCGACTGGGGGTGCCTGGGAGGAAGGAGGCCGGGAGGTGGGGCCGGAGAGGACAGACCACGTGCAGCCTCGGGGGCTGAGGGCAGGAGATGGATTCTGTTCTGTGTCCCACGAGAAGCCACAGCAGGGCTCGGACGAGGGAGAGCGGTCAGCTGACTGTATGTCTGGAAGGGAATCCCGTGTCTGCTGCTTGGTGGGCCAGAGAGAAAGCAGGAGGCCCGTTGTGAGGCCAGCCTGGGAGCCCGACTTCGGGACGGCAGCTGGGTGCTGGTGCGGGGCGCCAGGGGGCCGCTGGATGCGACAGAGGGGAGGCCCGCAGGTCCTGCTGTCCCCGAGCACCTGGGGGCGGCTTCTAGGTTTGGGGAGGAGCAGGGCCAGGCGGGGTGCGGGAAGCCATCTTGGGTCTGGACCAGGGAAGAGTGGGGTGCCTGCCGGGGATCGGGAGGGCAGGTGAGCGGAGCTTGGGGCCGATGTGGATGGCACGTAAGCCAGTGATGGGCATGGCCCCCTGATTCCCATGTGTGGGGTTCCCCACGCCCGGCAGCTCTCCTCCTCCAGACAGTGCGGCCCGGCTCTGACCCCACCTACCCACAGGCTGAGGGCTCAGCCCACCAGGCCGCCACCCTCCACCGGAGCTAATCCCAAGTGCAGGTTGTCGCCTGGGCCTCACGGGCGATCCGAGAAGCCCGCCTCGGGTTCCGTCAGTTAGCGAGAGCAGCTCCCAGGCCCCAGAGAAGCCCCTTACTCACTGGATCGTCAGTTTGTTGGGCACAGCTCAGGGATAGCAGGTGGGAGGGAGGCCCAGGGCGAGGTGTGGGGCAGGGGCAGGGCCGCCGTGCCCCCTCCAGGAGCCCCATCCACCAGCACCCCCGCGCGCTCACCCTATTCTTTTTGGCTTTCGTGGACGCTTCATTACTTAGGCATCATTGATTAAACCACTGGCTTTTGGTGATCGATTCGACCTCCAGCCCGTCAGTCGTCCGTCCGCATTGGTCAGTGGGGGGACTGGGAGTTCTCCCGGCCTCCAGCCTCCCCTTAGGTGGGGTCCAAATGCCACCTCATTAACAGACAAAAGGCACCTTTAGGTGTCTCAGCATTTAGGAAGTTGCAAGGGTCTTAGGAGCTCTGCGCCGGAA